GCTTCCCTTCAGTCTGCAAATGCAGTTAGGCAGGTTTTATAAGTGATGAATCAAAGCTGGAAGAACCCCAGTAGAGGTCCTGTAGCCAAATAGGGATTTGAACCCAGGACTCCACTGCTTGCTTCATCACATTGCATATTGCATCTAATCCCATTTATTAAATTTGTGCTGATTTTACAAAGTTCTTAAGTTCATTGGGGAAGAGCTTTGAGATCCAGGGTGTCTTACAGAATATCAACAGAAAGAATAAAATACCTATAAAGGAATATAGAGACTGAAGAGAAAGATGCTGTTTCAGAGAAGAAGGTAAGAATTTAAGAGTTTAGTATCATTAAAATTCATAAATTCCTGGGACAGTATTTCTACTGGCTTAATGCTGTTGTCTATACCATTTTGGCTGTTTGCGCACATACACACACCTTTACCCATCTCCCTAGTGTCTTGCTGTTGTTAGTGCAGTGATAATAGTCACCAAAAAAGCCAGCAGTCCTAAAGCACAAATGACCTTGTTTCTTTGGGAAGAAGAAAAGTTACAATAAAAGTGTCTGCTTTCTGGCTTTTTGCTTGTTTGGGTGTGTGTGTGTGTTTATAATTAATCGATATTAGGTAGAGATACATTAGGTCATTATCACCCAGGTGGTTTTATAAAACCAAAGAAATAAATATTTGGAAATAATTTTAAAGACAGTTTTGGTCCACTTTTTAGTAAGTATCTGAATTATTTTATTGTGTTCTAGCCATTTAAGTTGTATACATATGGGACCCCAGAGTTGAACAGAGGCAAGTTATAGGGGCTTTTATGAATTGGAGAATTCGTAGGTAGACAAATGGATCTTTTGATCTCATATATTGCTGGGGAGGGAGGTGGGAGTATCATTGTTTGTGACACTTTTGGAGGATAGCATTAACCCCCATCCTAGTCTTTCTTGCTCTTCCTCTAAAAGCTTTAAGCCGCTGAAATTGTGGGCATAAGGAGACATCTCTTCTGGCTTACTTTTTGGTGTAGTAGCTAAGCTCCAACTTAAATACAACACTGGAAAGAACATGTAGATTGTTGTGAGTCTCATAGAGGTCTCAAATAGGCACAGTTCTAAACACTTTACACTTATTAGTTCATTGAATCCTCACCACAAACCTGAGAGGTGAATACAGTTATCTCTATTTTGTAGTCTGGTTAAATGTCGTCAGCTCCTTCTAGCTGTGTGTGTCCTTTGGCAAGTTACTTAACCTACCTTTTTTTACTTCATTTTCGTCATCTGTAAAATGGGGGTAATGGTAACTGTCCTTACCAGTTCCTTGTGTGGTAAGGGTTACGAAATAATTCACATAAAGCACGTAGTGAATGCTTGTAGATGTTAGCTGTTGTTATCTAACTAGTTTATAATTACATGGCAAAAAAGATTATCGTCACAAGAATCAGAAGTTTGGTTTCCAATCCTTAACTCTCCTGTTAAGTAGCTATGTGATTATAGGTAAATTTTCCTCTTTCTGGGCCTCAGTTTTCTTATACCCATTTTTTAAAAACTTTTTACTTGAAAGTAACTTCAAATTTATAAGAGACAGTAATAAAAATAGTACAGATATGACACCAAAAGCACAGACAACAAGACAAAATAGACAAATTAGAGTTCATCAAAATTTAAAAGTTTAGTGCATCAGCGGACACCACCAACAGAATAAAAAGGCAACCCACAGAATGGGAGAAAGTATTTGCAAATAATGTATCTGATAAGGGATTAGTATCCAGAATATATAAGGAACTCCTGCAACTCAACAAGCAAAAGAAAAGAAAATTTAAAAATAAAGGACTTGAATGGTCATCTCTCCAAAGAAGATAAATAAATGGCCAGTAAACACCTGAAAAAGTGCTTAGCATCACTAATCATTAGAGAAGTACCAGTCAAAACCACAGTGAGATACCACTTTATATCCATTAAGATGGCTGCTATTTAAAAAAAAATTACATAAATGCTGGAGAGAATGTGGAGAAATTGGAACCTTTGTGCATTGCTGATGGGAATATAAAATGATGCAGCCACTGTGGAAGAGAGTGTGCTGGTTCCTCAAAAAATTAAAGATAGAATTACCATATGATCCACAATTCCACCCAAAAGAATTGAAAGGAGGAACTCCAGAAGATATTTGTACAGCAGTGTTCATAGCAGCGTTATTCACAATAGCCTAAAGGTGGAAACAACCCAGGTGTCTATTGATGAGTGAACGGATAGACAAAATGTGGTATATACATGCAATGGAGATATTCAGCCTTAAAGAGGGAGGAAATTCTGGCATATACTACAAACATGGATGAACCTTGAAGACATGCTAAATGAAATGAGCCAAGTGTAAAAGGACAAATATTCTACAATTACACTTACATGAGGTACCTAGAGCAGTCAAACTCAGAGATGAAAAATAGAATGATGGTTATATAAGGAGCTGGGCGAGGAGGGAGTTGGTGTTTAATGGGTACAGAGTTTCAGTTTGGGATGATGAAAATTTTCTAGAGATGGAGAATGTGGTGATGGTTGTACTAGAACGTGAATGTACGTAATGCCTCTGAACTGTATGCTTAAACAATGTTAATTTGGTAAATTTTATATTTATATTTTACCACAATTTTTTAAAATATATGTTTCAACAAAATTAAAATAGTACAAAGAAACATCTGTATCCCCATTTACCCAGATTTACTTACTGTTATATTTTACCCCATTTGCTTTATCATGTGTGAGTGCATTCTTGTATACACCTAATCTAAATCCAGTTTTGTCATTTGATCTGATAGTATTTTTAATAGCATTTTCCCCCCTCTAGTACAGGATACAGTCTAGAGTAGGACATTGTATTTAGTTGTCATGTCTCTTTAGCCTTCCTTTATCTTTTATAATATTGACATGTTTGAAGAGCAGTGTTACTCCCCACCCCTGAATTTTTTAATAGAAGCTTCCTCATTTTCTGTTCGTCTTTGCCTTGTAATTAGATTGAGGTTACACAGTCTTGGCCAGAAAATGCATGGGTGATGTGTCTTCCTCAGGTTATAACATCTGGAGACTCAATATATTTTTTTAAAATATGATTGGCTTTATTCTGTGATTTATGCATCAGACAGCATCCCATCAAACAAACAGAAGAAGGGTGTTCCCTCAATACATTTGTAACTAGATGCAGAGTAAAGGGAATCTACAAATGCTATAGGAATCTCAGAGAATGGAGAGATAAGGAGATTGGAGGGGTGGGGGGGGTGGGGGGGACATGATGAAGGAGACATAGTTTACTGATTTGGTAGAAAGCACATTTCTAAAATTTTACCAGCTTTTCCTCAGTGTCAAATTCTGCATTAGTTCAGCCAATATATATTACTGTCTTCCACCAGTTTTTTTATTTACTTATTTTTTAATTAATTAATTTTATTTATTTTTGGCTGCGTTGGGCCTTCGTTGCTGCACTCGGGGTTTCTCTAGTTGCAGCGAGCAGGGGCTACTCTTTATTGCGGTCCACAGGCTTCTCGTTGTGGTGGCTTCTCTTGTTGCGGAGCACGGGCTCTAGGCATGTGGGCTTCAGTAGTTGTGGCTCGCGGGCTCTAGAGCGCAGGCTCAGTTTTTGTGGCGCACGGGCTTAGTTGCTCTGCGGCATGTGGGATCTTTCCGGACCAGGGCTCGAACCCATGTCCCCTGCATTGGCAGGCGGATTCTTAACAACTGCGCCACCAGGGAAGCCCTCCACCAGTTTTTATTAAGCTAGCTCCTATATTAAATAAATCAGGAGGAAATTTTCTTTTTAATGAAATCAGGTGTATTTTTCTTTTTAATGAAATCAAGTGTATCTTTCAAATGGTGATCACTGGCCTACGTATTATTATGTAAAGTTACCCAAATAATAAAATGAACTTTTTTTTTTTTTTTTTTTTTTACGTTGAACTTTGATGTATGAGAACAAGTCTATTCTCTGGTTTCATCAAATATTAGTCAGGCTAAGGTTTGTACTCTGGACTTTGCCACCATTCTAGAGTGTTTTAGCACCCTTACTTGAGCTGTAGAAAGCTGTTGAAAGGAAAGTGCTGTTCTTTTTTTTGTTTTTGTTTTTTTTGTTTTTTTTTTGCGGTACGTGGGCATCTCACTGTTGTGGCCTCTCCCGTTGCGGAGCACAGGCTCCGGACACGTAGGCTCAGCGGCCACGGCTCACGGGCCCAGCCGCTCCGCGGCATGTGGGATCTTCCCGGACCGGGGCACGAACCCGCGTCCCCCGCATCGGCAGGCAGACTCTCCACCACTGCGCCACCAGGGAAGCCCGAAAGTGCTGTTCTTGCTAATACCTTTTTTTTTTTTTTTGGCTGCATTGGGTCTTCGTTGCTGCACGCAGGCTTTTTCTACTTGCGGCGAGCCAGGGCTGCTCTTCATTGCGGTGCACAGACTTCTCATTGCGGTGGCTTCTCTTGTTGTGGAACATGGGCTCTAGGTGCGCGGGCTTCAAAAGTTGTGGCTCGCGGGCTCTAGAGCGCAGGCTCAGTAGTTGTGGCGCACGGGCTTAGCTGCTCTGAGGCAATGTGGAATCTTCCCAGACCAGGCCTCAAGCCCGTGTCCCCTGCATTGGCAGGCGTATTCTTAACCATTGTGCCACTAGGGAATCCCTTGCTAATACTTTTTGTAGAATGTATAAATGGTAGTAATGCTGATGGGTTTATCCACAATGCCATTCTTCCCTTTCAGGCTATCTTTTAAAGAGCGTCCAAACTTTAGATGAAGAGGTAACAGGCTACTTTGTAGAATAGGATTAGGGCCAGTATACGTTTAAGTATATTTCTTGGGATTTGGGTGTTTTGTTTTAATTTTTCCCCATGTTTCAGGAAGCACTGTGATTGGCACAGTTGGGATATATTCATCGGTTAACAGGTAGGAGAGCCAGAGGTATGTTTGAGGCCATTACTCAGGATGATTTTTTTTCTTCCTATCTGCTTTTTAAAAATGGTTCCTTGGCCTTTGTGTGTTTTGTTTCTGCAGTTTGAAGAAAACAGTTCTGAAACGAGGTCTTACCCCCAGCTGCCTCAACACAGTGATTGCCATCTCTCCAAACGTCAAGTCCAGCTTTGTCCGCCAACCTGTCTGACATGTCGGGACCCGTGCCAAGCAGGGCCAGAGTTTACACAGATGTTAATACGCACAGACCCCGAGAGTACTGGGATTACGAGTCACATGTGGTGGAATGGGGGTAATAATTTCCGTTTACTTCACTGTACTCACCCAAAGGGCTGACTCTTGTGGATCTGTTGAGTAATTTACAACAGGAAACTTCCCTGACTGTACAGTTATAAACCTCAAGATTGAACGCAATTTTTGTTTTCTTCTACAGTAAAGAAACAGGGTATTGGCTTTGGTCAATTAACAGTTCTGATGGGTTTGCCATTTTAAAAACATTTCGGTCTCTTACTCTTTTCTCCGATGTATATATTCTGTATGGTAACAAAGAGTTGTCTATTAGCTTGCTCAGCTAAGGGCTTTGCAGTTAGGTGAGAATTAATACTTGAGAGACATTGAAAACACCAGGCTCTTACATAAAGTATTTTTGAGGTCAGAGAATGTTGTCCCATGATGATACTGAAGGATAAAACAGTTCTTCAGAAAGGTGTCCTCTTTCTGATGAGAAGCAAAATTAAACCCTTAAAACATTTGCCCTTATCATGAGGCTAGCCATGTGTAACGTGGAATTCAGCCCAAATTCCATCTTGAACAGTTGCAGTCTGCCTGAACAGCTGTGTTTGCCCTCCTAATTTTCTGTGCAGTCTCATTTGGATGTTTGCATTTCTTGTCCCAACATAGTATATATTTAATTGATCAGGCTGTACCTTTTGTGGTAAAATTATTTTGATATTCAGATGCAAAAGATAGCAATTTGAAAACTTGGTAAAGCTGCAGCTCCCATACACTATATTTTATATCTGTCCACATGTGATTTTCATAGCATGTAAATGGTCTTCAAAATTTGTCATAGGGTGTGTTTTAATGCTGATTGGGCCATGATTCTTAACAGTAAGTACATTATCTCTGCACAAGGAGGCACAGTGTGCTTCAAAGATACCATCAAAAACCATGGTACAGTGCCAATAAATGTTACCATTATTGATAATCTAACAATTTTCCTCTTACATCACATGCTTTGGACTCTAGGAATACCTGAGTTTTACTGCAGAAATTTCAACTCTTCAAAATAAGTGCTTTGAGCTTAGTTCTGCTTGAATGGCACTGAACAGCCCTTTTGAGGTTTTGGTGTGGTGCTGTTTGCTTGCTTGCGTTTGTTTTCTGTGCCCTCCCACAGGAAAAGAACTCAACCAGAACTAAGAGCTTCCTTCCCTAGACCTGCCATGATTATTACATTGTCCATTGTCCTTAGTACCTTTTACCTTCTCTGTTCACTCACTTTCCTTTTTTTTTTTTTGCTTGAGGAAAATGAATGGCTGATTTTTTACACTGAATTTTCAGTGCCTCCAGCAGGAGTAAATAGCATTTAGGCCTTATTGAAAAGACTCTCATTCTTTAGAGCAAATTCCTCTTAAGTTGTAAGCAGAGGCAGGGAGAAAAACGTTAGCATTTCCCTTATTCTTTTTCACCTCTGATGTTGCTTAGTAGTCTTGGAATATGGGTAAAAGTAGGGGAAGGGACACCTAACAGTGGTTCATGATCTGTAGTGTGGTTTGCAAACTTCATTACGTGGACTGTCCTCAGAGCTTTGGAGGGCAAGTTGGATGTCAGTCCTATGTTTGAAAGCCACTTATCTGCAAAGAGACCCATTAAAAATCGGCTGCTCCCAAAGTGTGGCTGAATTGAAATATTCTTGTATTGACTTCCTGTAAGATGCCAGCACTGAGCCAGGCACTGAGGGACAGGAATACCTATAAATTATTTTCCAAGGGAAGGCTGTCTGTTGTTGGAGACAAACATACATAACAAACCCCAATACAAGCTATCTACGTGTGGTATGTCAATAGAGATGTGAACAACTTGGGATTTGAAAGAATAACTGAAAGTCTTAAATTTTTTAATTCTAGGATTTGGAACACACATTTTAAGTTGGCCAAATTTTTTAAAATACAAAGAAGCCAATTTGGGAATTATTTGAAATACGTTTTATTTCTTTTACTCTACTGGCTATAGTTTTGTAAGTTGAATTAGTGCTTGATAATTTGAACTTTTAAAATCATTGTGACTGACTATTTTTGTTCCCAGAAATCAAGATGACTACCAGCTGGTTAGAAAATTAGGCCGGGGTAAATACAGTGAAGTATTTGAAGCCATCAACATCACAAATAATGAAAAAGTTGTTGTTAAAATTCTCAAGGTAAGTACAAGAGAGATTATAACTTCACAGGTTTTTGGAGTTTAGAAATTTTTTTTAAAGTAGCGCTTGAAAGGGTTTTTGGAGTGCTTAAACACCTTGATTTTATTGCTCCTTTGAAGTCGATAGAAGAGATTATCTTCATTTGACAGATCAGGAAACTGAAGCAAGAGAAGTGTTTGACTCAAATCGTACAGCTAGATTGTGGCAGAGGGAGGGAGTAAAGATTCAGTCTTCTCTGTCCTAGGTCTTGCCTAACACTGATTTCCTATTTCTTACATTTTTAGTTCTCATCCATGCTTTTGTTTTCAATGAGTTGTTAGCTCTACTGTGTAAAGATGAGGAGCCACAAATGCAGACTTTTAGAGGACAGGTGGATCACATTAATGCAGCTAGTCTGATTTAAGTGCCCATGATTAGAAGATGTGAGTGATGGGTACTATGGCATGTGCTCCAGCTCCAGCTGATGATTGCCCAGCAGTAGTGCAAGTCTAATGTTTTTTGGTACTGTTTCGCAAAAAGAAGCTAGACATTTATATTTGTACACTAATTCCCCTGGTTTTTAAATGTTGGCTCGAGTTTTTAAAACACCATACAGGCCAGATTTGGCCAATGGGCTACCTGTATGCAAATTGTGATTTAGTTATAACTGTACTGTACACTGCCATATACCAGGAACTTAGCATACAGTTCCTTGCCACAGGAACTTTTCCATATTTGACACGAGAAGCAGAGGGACCCAGACTTTCTCAATTTATAACACCCATATTGCTTCAGTGACTCTCATGGTACCCCTAAGCGAAAAGAAATACAGTTTTGTTTATTAAGTAGTTAAGTCCACATAACTAAAAAAAGTATTTATGCTTCAACTGGTAGCCATTTAAAAAATTATACACATAAGTTGAAAGAGAAAAGTAATTTTATTTTATTCTTATATAACCATAATTAATTACTATTGGGATATGTATACCTATTAGTCACTGCACAGCTTCTCAAATGTTGGAATCAGATTGGACACCAGCAGCCTCATTTCCTGTTCCACATTGATTTTTGCACAATACTTGCTTTTTGTCACAGCATCTGCTGAAAACCCAGTTTCACAAAAATATGCCATTAAAGAGAATGTAGTGCAACCTAATATTAAAACTGAACTACCTCAGGCTGGTAGTGTACTCAGTGACTGACAGACAGCAAGTATTAATTGGCGTTTTCCTTCAAAAATTAAAAATCCCACAGGACACCTGTGAATTTGCTGGGGGTGTTTTGGCATACCTTTCGAGAACCAAAGTTTAAGTATTTCTGTCTTGTGTAGAAAGAGAACTAGGCTGGAAATCGGGACATTTGGGTTCTAATCCAAACTCTAAAAGTAATTAGCCATGGTAGTCCTTTTAATTATTTAAGACATATTGGTTCATCTGTGAAAATGAGAGTTACCAGGATCAAATACAAAATTGTATATAGATATATACTTTGGAAACGGAAGTTCTGTGTAATTGTAAGATGATATTCCTATGGAAAAGTATATGATAGACTGAGGTGGTATATTATTTGAAAGGCATAAATAGTGAGTCTTACAGTTCAGAAGACAGTAGTGATGGTTAGGCAAAGCTCCCTGGAACTGTTTTCAGGCCCTGAGTGGGAGAAGGATTTGGATTGGTGTGCATGGGAGCATGGAAGGGAAGCATAATCTAGAATGCACAAGATTAAGAAAAGAGGAAGAAATAAGTGAGAGAAATGTTTCATGTGGAAGCTGTCATGTGATCATACATGGGAAGTAAACTTGGAAAAGGAGATTAAATTAGTGATGGCCTGGGGAAAGATAACATCTCCATTTCCTTCCAGCCTTGAAAACTATGATTTTTATCTCATCTAGGTTGTTGGGAGCCATTGATGGTCTTGAGTGATGGGTGGTTTGGAAAGATTTTTTTTTCTAGCTCAGTCTTTTCCTAACTGTACTGTATATGTTACTGTAACTGTGTAGCTAGATGGTATAATTATAGATAAAGTTCACTCATAACTATTTAAATTTTTTAATTTCCCCCCATTTATTAGACAAAATTTGCATTGATCACATTAAATTAGGATTTAAGTGACCTGCCTAGTCTGTCTAGCTTTTGTAAGTTTATAGATTTTAAGGGTTCTGTAGAGTAAAAGTTTTGTAAACCAGTAGCTTTTTGCCATCAACCAGCAGTTGGGATATAGTGATTCAGTAGAAAACAGGAGAGAGATTGATGGATTAGTTCCTGGAGAGTAGAAACATCTCCTAGATACTCCAGCAGATCAGAAGGATCTGGTAGTCGAAGCAAATAGAAAACTTGTGATCAGCTTGTTTCCTAGCCAGTGTAGTGAGTTCTAATAGAAGCAAGGTTGAGGCCATGGATTGAATTAAATGTGGAATTCACTATTAGTAAAACAGCTTCCATTTATTTATTTACTTTTAATATGTTTTTTAATTTTTTTTGGCCACGCCTCATGGCTTGCGGGATCTTAATTCCTCGACCAGGGATCGAACCCGGGCCCTCAGCAGTGAAAGCTCGGAGTCCTAACCACTGGACCGCCAGGGAATTCCCAGCTTCCCTTTATTGACTGTCTGCTTTGTATTGGGCCCTTTTGTAGCTGTAGTATTTACATCACAATTCTGCAAGGCAGGTGTGAAGTTCAGAAATGCTTAAGTGCTTTTCCCAAAGCTACACAGCTACAAAGCCAGGGTTTGAGGACAGTCTTTCCAAAATGTGCTTGCTTCCTGCTGTACCATGTGCTTATTAGGACTCAAGGAAAGGTTAAAAGAGTCTACAGTATTGTTTGGTAGCTCCTAGATCTGGATTATCAACCCGAGAAGCGTCTAAAAATAGATCTCCAGCTCTGTTCTCAAGATTCTGATTCAGCAGATCTATACAGCTTGTATATTAAAAAACCCAGGTTGATAATCAAAGTTTAGTAACCAGTAGTCTTGTTAATGAAGAGATGATATATACTTAAAACAGTTTCTAAGAAGCGAATGCAGTGTGTCAGTAGTCTGAGGTGACCAACACCAATAGGAAAGATTGCCTGGTCCAGTGTGGCAGACACAGGTCACACGTGGTTATTAAGCATTTGAAATATGGCTGGTCCAAACTGAGATATGCTGTAAGCATAAAATACAGCAGATTTCAAAGGCCTAGTACAAAAAGAAAAGAATATAAAATTGCTCATTAGTAATTTTTTATATTGATTTACATGTTGAAATGATAACATTTTGGTTATATTTTTGTTAACTAAAATGTATTATTAAAATTAATTTTGTCTGTTTCTTTATATTTTTTAAACGAGGGTACTAGAACATTTAAAATACACCTGTGGGGAATTCCCTGGCGGTCCAGTGGTTAGGACTCGGCACTTTCACTGCCACAACCTAGGTTCAGTCCCTAGTGTGGGAACTAAGATCCCCCAAGCCGTGAGGTGCGGCCAAAAAAATAAAAAATAAAATACACGTGTGGCTTGCATTGTATTTCTTTTGGACCAGCACTGTTTTAGACTGTTTAGAAAGAAGGTTTTGTAGAGGAGGTGCATTTGGACCAAAGCCCTTCTCAAAAAAAGCAAGAAAGATTTCTATACCAGAGCAGATGTGGAAATGATGGGTGAAGATAAAGGAATGTGGAGGATATATTGGTTATAAAGCTAGACAGATATTATGTGTTATGTCTCAGCCATGTTCTGAGGTCTTTTCAGGTACCTCATTTGATTCTTGCAATAATATTATGAGATAAGTACTCTTGTTGATCATTTTACCTGTAATGAAAGGTTTAGAGAGGTTATATAACTTGCCCATAGACACACAGCTAGCAGGCAATGAAAGAACAATTCACATTAGGCACACATTTAACCCAAAAGGTTATACTGCACAAAGATGGTGTGGCCGGGCTTCTCTGGTGGCGCAGTGGTTGAGAGTCAGCCTACCGATGCAGGGGATCCCGGTTCGTGCCCTGGTCCGGGAAGATCCCACATGCCGTGGAGCGGCTGGGCCCGTCAGCCATGGCCGCTGAGCCTGCGTGTCCGGAGCCTGTGCTCCGCAACGGGAGAGGCCACAGCAGTGAGAGGCCCGCGTACAGCGGAAAAAAAAAAAAAAGATGGTGTGGCCATCTTTGCTCTTGGTCCTGATCTTCATTTCTGTAGGGTGTTTATAAGACTTAGAGGAAGGAATGGAAAGAGCCCCATGTTTCATGCCAATTAATAAAAAGATTTTTCTAGATACATCTTAGTATTACCATTTACATTCCTAGTTTGTATAGTTTTTAAAAGTTAACACATTAGGACTGATGATTGGAATTAAATGGTAATTCTGCAGAATTTTGGTCTTTGGAGTGGAAATCTTTTTTTCTTTCAATTCAGTATTTGCTAAGTACCTGCAAAATACCTGGCACAGGGCTAGGAGAATGGGGATTCAGAGATAAATCTGACACATTTCCTTCCTTCAGGGAGCTCATAAGTAAGCCATTCATGTATTACATTACCTGTTGAAATATTCTGAAATAATTTTTTTTTAATGATGTACTTTTACCCTTTCAGCCAGTAAAGAAGAAGAAAATCAAGCGTGAAATAAAGATTTTGGAGAATTTGCGAGGCGGTCCCAACATCATCACACTGGCAGACATTGTAAAAGACCCTGTGGTGAGTATAATAGGTGCTAGTAAGGCCCACCAGAGCTGAGGTGGTGTTTGACCCTGAGCACAACTGGCCTCTGTTTGTTCCTCCCTCTACCATTAAGTCCTGCTTTAAAAGTGCTTAATCAGTTATACCACTTAACTAGCTTGGGTCTTTCTTTCAAAGAGATCTCCACCCACAGACTATTTCTTATTCTTCTAGGCTAAGAGACTGATAGCACTGGAAACTGAAATGTGTTAATCCATTTTGCAAACTCAGGTCCGATGCCGATGGGCGATGGGCGCATTGTTGGGCTGCCTAGAGCCTGGTGAGACTTCAGCTCCATGTCTTCTGTTTGAAATCCATCCCCAATATGACCTAAGTGTGGTGATGATCAGAGTGGGGAGGGCTTATAGCAATAGAGGGTTTCCTACTACTGAGGCAAGGACTGCCAAATTCACCACATAGTGTCCGCAAACATTGTGCCCACTAAAGCTGCCAGGGCTATTACTAATGTGTGTTTTCTTTTTCTTTCCCCTAGTCACGAACTCCCGCCTTGGTTTTTGAACACGTAAACAACACAGACTTCAAGGTATAATGTATAACCAACCATTTCAAGCTGTTGGGATTTTAGACCACATAGAAAGTCTTTCAGGGATGTTACTGTTAGAAGAGCTTCCTTCTAACTTACTTAAAAAGAGCTTTTCATCCTTACAGTGCTAATTTTTTTTCCTTTCCTCCCTCCCTCCCCTCCTCCCTTCCTCCCTTCCTTTCGGCTGCATTGAGTCTTAGTTGTGTCACGCGGGATCTTCGTTGAGGCACACGGACTTCTCTAGTTGGTGACGTGCATATTTTATCTTTAGTTGTGGTGCACGGGTTCCAGGGCGTGTGGGCGCTCTCGTTGAGGCACGCAAGCTCAGTAGTTGCGGCATGTGGGCTTAGTTGCCCTGAGGCATGTGGGATCCTAGTTCCCTGACAGGGATCAAACCCATGTCCCCTGCATTGGAAGGTGGATTCTTTACCACTGGACCGCCAGGGAAGTCCCCTTACAGTGCTAAATTTAAATATAGACATACTCTTGTATGAACAGTGCTCACTTTCCATATCTTGGTATTTTGCCTTTTTATTTGTTTAGTGCTCTTTCTAATGACCAGTACTTTTATTTCTCACCATTTGTCAGTTTACCATTCGTTTGACAGTTTCCGGTGGTGTCATACTTAATGAAAGCAACAGCTCATGTTTAGTCAGGATCTGGCCTTAGGACATTTCTCTTTAAAATGACAAAGTTCAAGAAGAAATGTATTGTCTATATATAAAAGCAAGGACTGCTTGCTTATACCTTAGGATTACTCAGAATCTTTGGGTTCTAGATCTTAAAAAGAGATGGGTGGGGGCTTCCCTGGTGGCGCAGGGAAGATCCCACCTGCCGCAGAGCGGCTGGGCCCGTGAGCCATGGCCGCTGAGCCTGCACGTCCGGAGCCTGTGCTTCGCAACGGGAGAGGCCACAACAGTGAGAGGCCCGCATACCGCAAAAAAAAAAAGAGAGAGATGGGTGGGGAAGGGTAATGTAAATTCTGGTAAAGCGCAAACCTCTGCAACAGATACTCTGACTTCTGGCCAATTTCAACAATTCTCAACTCCAGCACAACAGAAGAATGTAGGCACTCTCTTGGGTTTTAATTTGTAAAGGTATTTGACTTGCCTTTGCACCAGGCCAGTATCATTAGGTATATGGGTCTTCCCTGGTGGTGCAGTGGTTAAGAATCCACCTGCCAATGCAGGGGACACGGGTTTGAGCCCTGGTCCAGGAAGATCCCACATGCCACAGAGCAATTAAGCCCGTACACCACAAGTACTGAGCTTGTGCTCTAGAGCTGGCAAGCCACAACTACTGAGCCCGTGTGCCACAACTACTGAAGCCCGCGTGCTTAGAGCCTGTGCTCTGCAATGAGAGAAGCCACTGCAGTGAGAAGCCCACGCACTGCAGCAACGAGTAACCCCTGCTTGCTGCAGCTAGAGAAAACCCGCACACAGCAACGAAGACCCAATGCAGCCAAAAATAAATAAATACATAAATTTTTAAAAAAGAAATGTTAGGTATCAATAAATGAGTGAATTCTTTTGCTGAGTGGAGGAAAAAAGGAAGAAGAATTGTTTTAGAATCAGAATGATAATTTCAAGGAAAATGTTGTCAGAGGACACCACTGACCATTTAATGATATGTACATTTTTTTAAAGTCCAAAACTCTTTAGAAACTGGAAAAGATACATGACATGTTCAGAGTTTACTTTCATGACATGTTCAGAGTTTACTTTCAAATTGGGACAGTTCTATTAAATTGGCTCAGCAGATTTGACAGCAATCCATCTGCATACCCACTGGTGATCGGCAGGGCCTGTAACTGTAGGCCAAAGGTGAATTAATTCCCTACTAAGAAAACTATGTGTTTGCCCACGTGTTTTATGAGAAGATCTGGAGGTAACTGAAAAACTACAAATGTATATCAGTGCGTGTTGCATATATAAATTAGTATGTTCCCAAAAGTAGATTATAGCTTCAGCAATATGAACTTAAGTAATTCTTCACTTTTATATAGAGAGTTAAAGACCCAAAGTATCTCTTTCGTGTTATATTGGAGAAGTAGAGACTGGTGAACAGACAGATCTTAGAACAGTGGTAAATGAGCCCAGTCTTGATTTGAATTACCACAAATGAGGATGAGAAATTTCCTTCCTTTCAGTACTATTTCATGGCTCAAACGTTGCATTTGTCTTTAACAGCAATTGTACCAGACGTTAACAGACTATGATATTCGATTTTACATGTATGAGATTCTGAAGGTAAGAAAACCTTGAATACTAAATATCTTTAGATCTCCCCTTTGTTAAATAATCGAAATGACTGTAGAAAAGCCAGTGGGTTAACTTTGTAAAATACGGGGTTTGGGGGTCTGTTTATATAAATTTTTAATAAATTAGTAGCATCAGAATTCTTATGCTGATGTAAAGGTTATGGGATAAGGGTCTAGTAAGAATATAATTTATAATGCTTTGGAAGGGGTATTTAGAAGAGAGGTAGGACTCTTTAACAAATATCTCTCTCTCTAAATATCTCTATCTATCTTGCTCTTTCAGAAGTTACAGTTAAATTGTCAAAAGTTGTAAAAAAAAAAATAACTCCTGGTGTAATGGCTTCTGGTGTACTTTATTTCACTTAAAATTGAACAAGTAAAACAGTAAACTTTAACTCAACCCTCAAAGGGCCATTGTCCTAAAGATTATGTAAATCTGTGCTTAGAGATTGGTGATTTAGAATGAACTTTGATTCCTGAAGTGGGATCACCAAATATATTGCTTCCAGTAGTCAGAAGATCAGCTTTATAGATAAGAAGATTGCTAAGAGTTGGCTAGTGTCTTACTAAATGAGGATTGACATAAAGCCTGCATTTGAACCTTAGAAGTACCCTGAAGAGACTATGCCAGCAGAAATATTTGATCTTTCCATTGGCTCATGCATTCTTGTGGCAAGCAGGACTTCCGAAAGTTAAGGATATGCTTGCCTAACCCTGGGAACCATAGGAACCCAAGTTGCCCTTCAGAAAGGACAAGAACTTGGCCAATGACATCAGCTGACTTGAAGGCCTGGATTAGCAAGCCCCAGAGGTTATGCCACTCACTAGTTTGAGATTGGACATGGTTTTCAAATTGGGTTTGATGTCATAAATCAGGAGTTGGCAAACTCCTTTACAAGGACAAATGTTAAAATTTTTGGCTTTGTGGGCCATAGGGTCTTTCTCACACTACTCACCTCTGATGTTGTAGCATGAAAGCAGTCACAGGCAACATGCAAACAAATAGATGTGGCTGTGTTCCAATTAAGCATTCACAAAAACAAGCAGCAGGCCATATTTGGCCTATGGGCCGTGGTTTGCCGACCTCTGCTGCATACTCTTTGCTGCTAAAGAATTACTGTTCTTTGACTACAAGGTTTGTAGTACAGATCAGTTTTCTTCTTTTGAGGGGCTCGTGTTTGTGAAAATAATCCAGGCTTTGGGTAAGGGGGAGAAATTGGAAGTCATGTAATTGGTGTACACTTTGAGTCTTTTTAACAAAAAGGATGTTGAAACAGCTGTGCAAGAAAAGGATTTGAAGTTTAGAGGCCATGCATGGGTTTGCACAAGTCTCTAAAAAGTACCTGCGGAAGTGATTGTCCTTACTTTGACTCTCAGGAGTGTTGTGAGGCTAGAAGGAAAACTGTGGAGGAAAAGGTAAGGGACTTTAACTAAAAAATCACTCTTATACAAGCTAACGCTTTCCTTTCTTACCTGTTCCTCCCACAGGCCCTGGATTATTGTCACAGCATGGGGATTATGCACAGAGATGTAAAGCCCCATAATGTCATGATTGATCATGAGCACAGAAAGGTAAAGTGATAGGTGGACAAGTCTTATTTATCAACATGATAGAGTTAACAACCCATCTTCAACATTTTATTCCTAGCATCTGTCATAGTCCATGGCACCTGTTAGGCACTTAACAAATATTTGATGAATGAATGAATGAACAAATCAGTGTGGAATCTACAATATGACATTAATGAACTTATCTATGAAACAGACTCACAGACACAGAGAACAAACAGTGGATGCCAAGGGGGAGGGGGGGGGTGGGGAAGGATGGACTGGGAGTTTCTAGAATAGATAAACAACAGGGTCCTACTCTGTAACACAGGGAATTATATTCAGTATCCTGTGATAAACCCTAATGGAAAAGAATGTATGTATATGTATGACTGAATCACTTTTCTTTACAGCAGAAGTTAATACAACATTGTCAATCAACTAGAATAAAATAAATTTTTTTTTGAAATCACAATGATTAAAACTTCATTCATTCATATTCCTATCAAAAAGAAAACAGATTAGTGTAGTCGGTAAAACATTAGTTTTGGCAGGGAACCTGGTTTCTAGTCTTATTTATTGAAAAACTACTCTCTTGGGAAATGCCTTTTTCCTCATCTGCCTCTTTTTTTTTTTTTTTTTAACCTATACAGTGGGTATACAAATAATATTTGTCTTGCATGCCACTAGGTTATTGTGAGAATTAAGTGTGTACAGTTGTGAAATGGATGAGATATTCAGAAAATGCTGCTGCTTATTAGCAAGTATCATGAGGCCCCTGAGCTTTACAAGTACTTTTAATGACAGCTGCAGTGTTACATTTCTGTTTTTTAAGGTGACCCAAGTCCATCTTTTATGCAGTGATGGCTCTCTGTTGTAGGCTTTGGGGATATAGGTGATTTGTTCATTCAGTTAGTATTCTTTTAAGCACACACTATGTAATAGGTATTGTTCTGGAGGCTGGGGATATATGTATGAGACAAAAATAGATTAAAAATTCTTGTCCATAGGAGTTCACATATGGGGGAGACTGGTAGGATAGAAAGTTAAAAGTGATGTGGAAGGGGCTTCCTGGTGGCACAATGGTTGAGAGTCCGCTTGCCGATGCAGGGGACACAGGTTCGTGCCCCGGCCCGGGAATATCCCACATGCCGTGGAGCGGCTGGGCCCGTGAGCCGTGGCCGCTGAGCCTGCGCGTCCGGAGCCTGTGCTCCGCAGCGGGAGAGGCCACAACAGTGAGAGGCCCGCGTACCGCAAAAAAAAAAAAGTGATGTGGAAGAAAAAATAAAATAGGAATAGGGAGTGGCAGAGGGTGTTGCAGTTTTAAACAGCGTGGTAAGGAGAAGGTTTCATTAGGAAGGTGACGTTTTGGAGAACGCTTGAAGGGAATCAACCATGCAGTCTCGGGAAGAGGATATAGCAGATACAAACCTCTGAGACAAGAATGTGCCTGGCATGTTGGAACAGCACAAGGATAGAGCTGGGATAGAATGAACATGGGGAAGAGGGGAAGGAAAGGAGATCAGAGAGATAAATAGAACCAGATCATGCAAAACCTGGAAGATCAGTGTCAGGCCTTTTCTCCAAAGACACAGGGGTTTTGCAGGATTTGAGCAGAGGGTTGGTAAGTTCTCACTTGAGTATTTCAAAGTTCACTACACATCTATTAGAACAGCTAAAATAAAAAATAGTGACAGTTCCAAATACGGACAAGGATGCAGGGTAACTCAGTCTCTCATACATTGCTGATGGGAATGTCAAGTGGCATACTCATTTTGGAAAATGTCAAACTATTGTTTTATAGTTTGTCAGTTTCTTTAAAAGCTATAAACAATCCATCAGTGACATTTATCCCAGAGAAACAAAGACTTAGGTCCACACAAAAACCTTCAGTGCATAAATGATTCATCAAACAATGGTGTATCTATACCATGTAGTATTGTTACTGATTAGTAAGAACTATTGATAATGTAACAGCTTGGATGGGTCTCATGCTGAGTGAAAAAAAGCAGCCTCAAAAAGTTAAACTGATGGTTCCATTTCTATAATACTCTCAAAATGATAGTTAGAAAACAGGTTACCAGGGGTTAGAAAGTGAGAGGAAGGTATAGCACAAAGGACATCTATGGTGGTGTCCTTTATCTTGTGGTGTAAGCTATATGAAGCTGCACATGTGATGAAATTGTGTAATACTGTACACACTTATGCATGTAAAACTGCTGAAAAAGAAAGGTCTCTGAATTGTCAGCTTCCTGGTTTTGATATTGTACTATAGTTATGTAAGATATTACCATCAGGGGAACTGGTGAAGGGTACACAGAACATCTCCAAATTCCTATGAATTTATAATCTTTTTTTTTTTTTGCGGTACGTGGGCCTCTCACTGTTGTGGCCTCTCCCGTTGCCGAGCACAGGCTCCGGACGCGCAGGCTCAGCGGCCATGGCTCACGGGCCCAGCCGCTCTGCAGCATGTGGGATCTTCCCGGACCGGTGCACGAACCCGTGTCCCCTGCATCGGCAGGCGGACTCTCAACCACTGCGCCACCAGGGAAGCCCATAATCATTTTTAAATAAAAATACTTTTTAAAAGGATCATTCTGGTTCCTGTGTGGAGAATTGAGGGTAAAAGTGAAAGGTAGACCAGTTAAGAAAAGCAGCTCTTGCAATAAATCAGAGATTGGTGATGGCATGGACCGGAGCAATGGCAGTGGATGTGATGATATGGTCAGAATACGGTAGAGCCAACAGGATTTGTTGACAGATTAGACTTGGGGTGAAAGGGAGACGAGTCCAGGGTGAAAAGTTTTTGACCTGAATGACAGGATAAATGGAAGGTAACAGAGGAGGAGGAATCTGGGAGAAACAGGTTTTGCAGGGAATTATCAGAGGTTTAGTTTTGAGATGTCTGTTAGGTGATCACAGAGAGATGGCTGGTGATATGTATGGGCTAGAGAGTATAGGTGGGAAAAGCAGAGATACTGTGTGTGAAGCCACAGGACCAGAAATAGTCATCTGGGAATACTTATTGATAAGACAGAAAGCTCAGGGACAGCTCTGGAGCACTGATAATAAGAGGTTGAAGAGAAAGATGATAAAAAAGTTATATTTTCTTTCATACCTTTTGCTATATTTCCCTTTGTTTACTAAAAGAAGACACTGAACCTAATTAACAGTTAACTTTTGGAGACAGTACTGGAGCAGTCAGGCATTACTCAGACCCTACTGCTCACACTTCAAATCATGGTCATTGTTTGCACACAAAGGGCAAATAAGGTTGCCTTTTTTTTTTTTTTTAATTGAGGTATAATTGCTAAGGTTGCCTCTTGTCCTTGCTACTACTGTTTCCACTTTCAGGATACATTTTGGTAAGAGCTGTTTTGTGTGGCTTTTCTCTTACTGCATTCACTGAGTAAATATTTTTAGGTTTTCTCCTGTGTACTGGGCATTACATTGGATTCTAAAAATTAGCAAAGGTGAATAAAACAGTCCCTACCCTCAAGGATCTTACCGTCCATATTTTTTTTTTAAACGTTTTCTTCTTTACTCAGTTTTTTTTTTTTTAATAAATTTATTTATTTTTCTCTGCGTTGGGTCTTTGTTGTTACGCGCAGCCTTCTTCTAATTGTGGCAGGCGGGGGCTACTCTTCATTGTGGTGTGCGGGCTTCACATTGTGGTGACCTCTCTTGTTGCAGAGCACAGGCTCTAGGCACGTGGGCTTCAGTAGTTGTGGCATGCGGGCTCAGTAGTTGTGGCTTGAGGGCTCTAGAGTGCAGGCTCAGTAGTTGTGGCACACGGGCTTAGTTGCTCCGCGGCATATGGGATCTTTCCAGGCCAGGGATCGAACCCATGTCCCCTGCATTGGCAGGCAGATTCTTAACCACTGTGCCGCCAGGGAAGTCCCCAGTCCATCTTTTTTTTAAAGGTAGCAAACAAATATTCAGTAAAGAGCTGTAGGTTCTATTAAAGAAATTTTAAGGTTGGTTGGGTAGGGGGGCATATCAAAGACATAGTTGCTTCTATTTGCATAATTAGAAAAGACTTCATTAAAGGAGCTAACTTAAGTAACTCAAAAGATGAGGTGTTCACCACAGTAGGAGTCTATATTGAATAGTGGAGACATTCTAGTCATATGAGCAGTTTAAGAAATTTGCAAGCAGCCACATAGCACAGGGAGATCAGCTCCGTGCTTTGTGACCACCTAGAGGGGTGGGAGGGAGGGAGACGCAAGAAGGAAGAGATAGTATAACTGATTCACTTTGTTATAAAGCAGAAACTAACACACCATTGTAAAGCAATTGTACTCCAATAAAGATGTTTTTTAAAAAATCACTAAAAAAAAAAAATTTGCAGAAGCACAGAATGAGATTGTATTTTTCAGGAACTGTAAGTCTCACTAGAGCAAAGGAATTAGATCCTGGAGAGAACCCTGTATGTCAAGCTAAGAAGTTTTATTTTCATCCTAAATGTAATAGGTGGTCACTGAAGGGCTTTCAATAGAGAGTGACATGGCTGTTATTTTTTAAAAGATTACTCTAGGGAATTCCCTGGTGGTCCAGTGGTTAGGACTCTGTGCTCTTGCTGCTGAGGGCCCGGGTTTAATCCCTGGTCAGAGAACTAAAATCCCACAAGCTGCACAGCGCAGCCAAATAAAAAGAGTACTCTAATGGCAGTGTGAGGGGTAACTTAAAAGATAAAGTCACTCATTATTTATTATCTTTTTCTTTCAGCTACGGCTAATAGACTGGGGTTTGGCTGAGTTTTACCATCCTGGCCAAGAATATAACGTCCGAGTTGCTTCCCGATATTTCAAAGGTCCTGAGCTACTTGTAGACTATCAGGTGAGAAGAGGGGGGCAGATAAAATTTTGGTCCTTGTGTTTATTTTGCACATGATTTGCAAAAAATGTCATTTTGCACTTTTGAGTAGGCCATTTATGCACATCCATGGCTATCCCTTTTATATGAATGTAAAATATGAATCACTTTCATCTGCCATAACTTATATTTGTATTGTCATAATGTCAGTAGAATATGAATAGATCTGCATTTGATCCTAACTGAAGAGAAAGACACTTTTTCTAATCAGAAATTACACAGCTAGTTTGAGAATTGTAAGTTAGATTTAACCAACCTTAAAAGTAAACTGAAAAAAATGTTCTCGATATAAAGACCTTCCCTCTACCAAAAAAAGAAAAGAAAGCACTCTTCTCACGGAAACAAAATCCTTGGGAATACCTTTCCTGCCCCAGTCCTCCCAGGTGTTATCAGATACCTTAAAAAGTTCAGACTCTGTCCTAGAAATTCCTTTTCTGGGGTCTTGAGGATATAACCCTGAGTTCAAAAAACATTTTATACATAAAAATATTCTTTACAACATTATTTATAATGGTGAAAAACAGAACACTATCCTGTTGTAGGAGAAGTTAAAGATTAAATTCTGAAGCATTCATGCAATAAAAAAATGATACACATTAGAAGGTTTCCATAGGCTGACAATTGGGTTGTTCTTATGTAAGTGAAGAAAATAATTCAAAATAGTATGTACAGATTTAAAATGAGAGGGTGGGGGAGCATGGGTGGGAATGCATAGAAGAAAAACGTGTTTTTGGTATTTGGACTTTAAGTCAGTGGAGTGGTTTGTTTTTAATAAAAAGCTTTTCTAAAAAAATTTGAAGTGACAGGATTCATTCTTGTCATTTCATGTGTGATGACGACATTTTCTTTAATGCAGATGTATGATTATAGTTTGGATATGTGGAGCTTGGGTTGTATGCTGGCAAGTATGATCTTCCGGAAGGAGCCATTTTTCCATGGACATGACAATTATGATCAGGTGATATATGTTGTTCCTATTAGGAAATTTACTGGTCTTACCAAGTGACGGCCAGATCTGCTTACCCATTAGAAACTGCAGTGGATCTTGCTAAAATACAGATGCCTGGCCCCCCCACCTGAGAGCTATTAAATTAATAAGTTAGAATCTGGGAGTGGGACCCTAGAATAATTTTCAAATAATGGCTTGTCAGCTAACCTGACATTGATCCTCAGATTGGTTTAGCTTTAAACTATTGGTTTAGCTTTTGAAATTAGAATTTTTCCTTTTCATTGCTTGTTTAATTGTGAGATATACTTGTATATACATGTTTTAGGAAATATTTTACAATTCAAAGAATAATAGTTTAAAATATAGGATATTACCTTAGAATCTCCTAATGTGAGCTTTTATTAGGGTTAGGAATGTTTCCTCCAACATGTTGGTTTATATGTGGTATTTCTGTGATCCTTTTGTCTCGTCATACAGATTGAATTGATGTATGTCAGTAGAAATATAGATGGTATTTTTTATACTAGCTGCACTTCCCCTTGTAGATCAAGGGGCCATTTCATTCAAGGGAACCTGGAATGATTCTAGGGCCTTGTGGAAGGTACTGTTACCTTGTTTGAGCACAATGACTTTTTTTTTTTTTTAATTAAACTTTATTTTGAGATAATGTAAATTCATGTGAAGTTGTAAGAATTAATACAGAGAAATATGGTGTGCCTTTTATCCAGTTTCCCCCTAACATAACTTTTTGCAAAACTATGTACAGTATCACAACCAGGATGTTGATATCAATATAACCAAGGTACAGAACATCTCTGTCACCTCAAGGATCCTTCATTTGCCCTTTTATAGTCACACCAAGTTCCCCTCCCCCTCTTTCATGCTTCTCTGTTGTAATCTCCATTTCTACAATTTTATCATTTTGAGAATGTTATATACATATGATGACCATTTTTCATATGAGTCGAAGAATACCATGTGAATTCAGTTAAAATCAGCAACTCTTTATCAGGTGCCATGCAGAATTGAGGAATATAGACAAAAAGAAAGAATAGCCGCTCATCTCAAAAGTTCTTCATAGTCTGTCTAGCAAGGGAACCAAACATATAAGAAAGTAAGTTACAGTAGTAAATGTCAGAGTAGAAGTGTAGACAAGATACAAAAGACAGTTGTAATGGGAATGAGTGGTCTGAGTATATGGGGTTGGGGGGAGCTTCCCAAAGGAAGTGACATCTCCAGCTGGGTTGTAAGGGGAAAAAGAATAAGACTTCACCAGAAGGAAGGAAGCAGGTTATAAAGTGGTTTGCTTTTTCTGTTTTATACATTTATATCAGTAATAATTTAGGGAACGTCATGTGGAAATCCATTCATGGTGTGCAAAAAAATTTGAAGTAAATTGGTTGTAACATTCATACCTGTAGCCATGATGATCCGTTCTGTTAATTCAGTCATGGTTAATTGTTGATTTAATCATGTAATATGCTTTTGGTGTGGGTTTTGTCTTCTTCAATCCTAGTTGGTGAGGATAGCCAAGGTTCTGGGGACAGAAGATTTATATGACTATATTGACAAATACAACATTGAATTAGATCCACGTTTTAACGATATCTTGGGCAGGTAAGTCACAAAATAAAATCTATGCATCTGTGCCTTAAGCAGTTCGGGTGTAAACTGGTACTTTGGATCCCCAGAATAGTTATGTTCTCTTTGCCAACACTGCTGAGGTATCTCTGGTCCACTGCTACAGAATGCTGCATAGGCAGGCCTGTGATAAAAGCATTGGATTGAATGGCCATTTCCCCAGATTCACTTACAGGATTCTGAGTGTGGAGGTTGTAGTCAGAAGATTCCTGACTATGTAGAGTCTAGTAGAAGGGTTACAGTTGAGTCAGAAATCAAAATCTCCTGATTCAACTTGCTTCTCTAAATGACAGAATTGTCTCTAAGAGAAAGAAATAGTCATAGAAATAAGTACATGCTTCAAGACTGATGTGCAGACAACAGACTCTAAAAATAGTGACTAGACACAATACTCATTCATCACTTAACAGGAAGAGGTGAACTTTCTTGATACAAAGGCTTTTGCTGGCCAAGTGGCAGAGATGCCAGGAAAGGGGGTGTGGGGGATGGGGAGGGAGGCCTGGTTAGCCCAGCCACCTGGCCCTCCTTGCTGTGCAGGAGCATTCAGTCCTGTAAAGTAACCTGAATTATGTTTCACAAAATTGTGGGGACCCAGATTTCTCTTTTCTGCAACACTGCTATTTCCAGTCTCTCCAATTAGCTTTGTTGTCTCTGCAGTGGCAGAGTGGTATAAGACTAGTCTCTTGAGTTTTTATTTCTCTTGTGATTGGCTGGAATTCTAGCCACTAAGGAAAATGTAGGAGTGAAATGTTGGGCTTCTCTGCCCCTTGGTCCATTTCTCATTTCCCCTTTTGGCTCTGCAGACATTCCCGTAAGCGATGGGAACGCTTTGTCCACAGTGAAAACCAGCACCTTGTCAGCCCTGAGGCCTTGGATTTCCTGGACAAGCTGCTGCGGTACGACCACCAGTCACGGCTCACCGCAAGAGAGGCCATGGAGCACCCCTATTTCTGTGAGTCCAGCTGTTCAGTCCACAGAGCCTGTGCAGGCCTTCCCAGTAGATTGTACCAGGCAGGGCCCAGGGCCCTACAGAACAGAATTGGAATACCAACCTCCTGTACTTAGCTTGCTGCAAGGTTACTTCACCCACAGTGAGCCTTGGTTTCTTCAGTGGGGACCATGATTGTTGAGAGGATTCTTATCTAACGGAGTACCTGACTCATGATCACTGCTAAATAAATTGCTTTTCTTACTGTGTGGGTGACACTTCTCAGTGGCTAGTCTGGAGTGGTTGGATTAGAACATACAGCCCTATATCTGTCCCGTCTCTTGTTAATCATTGTTGGAGAGAGCCAAAAAGGCTTGAAAACCTTATTGTATGAACACCTTGACCTAGGTTTGTGAGTATAGCTAACTGTCGTCATGAGTGAAAATGCCACTTAGCTGCACCCCATCCTCACTGTGTTGGGTTGTTCCTTGGGGAGTGGTTGGGTGGTATTTTAGTGAATCAGTTACACTCTTGCTCAGTCTCCTGTACCTGAAGCAGACTGAAAGGCTGATGGAGATGTAGAGTGAAGTCTGTGGTCATAGCACTAATTTGCCCAAACCTGTAGTTTTGGCCTGTTTGGCGCCAAGCTGTGAACCGCAGTAAAACCAATTCACTCTGATAATATATTTCTCTTTGGGTAAGGGTAAATTGTATTATGTCATTAAATTCTAACAGGATTGGTTTTGTTTTAAATTAGCTCTACTATGGATAATTACCTCCTTTTCCTACTATGTAGTTTAGTAGTTGGCCTTTACCACAGTTTGACAGGAAAGATAGTTTTATTTTGTATTACTTGTTCAATTCATAGTGAAGGCAGTTGACACCTTAATTCTATTACTAAGGGAATAATATGGAATACAAATAAAATGTAAAGAATGAGGATGACTGCTTTAAGACCCCAGCCCATTAGTTTAATCCTTCAAGCATAATAGAATCTAACCTTTTTGTCTCTTTTCTAGACACTGTTGTGAAGGACCAGGCTCGAATGGGCTCATCTAGCATGCCAGGGGGCAGTACGCCTGTCAGCAGCGCCAATATGATGTCAGGTCAGTTCATTGGTAAATTTATTTTTTTAAGAAAAGATAGAAGTCAGTTATCATTCTTAATTTTGCTCCCTCTTTGTGACCTGATTTCTGTGGCCCTCCCTCTTCTCTATAATGATTACCTTATTGACATACTGACCTGTATGGCTCTCCCCACCAGGTTTCAGGATGCTTTTGAAACCTGGTATACCTTAATGGCCCTGCCTTGAGTAAGAGTATCAACAGTCTCTTCTAGGCCAGAATCACAAAAATTATTTGGGACTTGAAAGTCTCAACAAGCCATGAAGAGTAAAGAGATCCTTTCATCTCACAGGTTAGAGTGACAGTAGGTGATGCTGTCCTCAGAAACAAGATTAAGAAAATGAGGGAGGGTAGAGATGGGGTTTGTACATGGGTATATATGAGTTTAAGAATGGTTCTCAGGCCTCCCTGGTGGCGCAGTAGCTAAGAATCTGCCTGCCAATGCAGAGGACATGGGTTCGAGCCCTGGTCCAGGAAGATCCCACATGCTGCAGAGCACCTAGGCCCATGTGCCACAACTACTGAGCCTGCACTCTAGAGCCCACAAGACACAACTACTGAAGCCTGTGCGCCTAGAGCCCGTGCTCCGCAACAAGAGAAGCCATTGCAATGAGAAGCCCGCGCACCGCAACCAAGAGTAGCCTCCGCTTGCTGCAACTAGAGAAAAGGCCGCGCGCAGCAACAAAGACCCAACACAGCCAAAAATAAAATAAATAAAATAAATTAATTTAAAAAAGAATGGTTCTCTGAGTTTTTCCAGAGCAACTACAGTGTGCCTAGTAAATTATAATGGTTTATATGAAATTATCTTTAATGTTGTTGAGTCATTATGATTTAAAGCGAGTTTTTACCCAGAAGAAACCACAGTTACCCAAAAGAAGCCATAGGCCTGTCCCCTAAGAATTATATATGTAGGCAGCATCCACATGGATATACTCGTGATCGTGAGGGCACTTAGACACCCTCAAAGAATTGCTGTTGTCTGAATTCTTTTTTTAAAGAACTAGCTGCCTTCTAGAGTTTATCCTCTGGGTATCATGCCAATGTGCAAAATGATATATGTCCAAGGTTACTCATTCTAGCCTTATCTGTAATCACAGAACATTAAAAACAGCTCCGTATAGAGTAGAGAACTGATAAAATGAATTACCGGGCATCCATTCAGTGGAATGCTATATGGCTAGAGAAAAGAATGAGTGTTTCGTGTTCTTGTCTAGTTTCAACTCCAAAGTAGTAATGTGAAATGAAGAAAGCAAGATGCAGGACCATGTCCAAGACCAGGAATGGGCAAGAATATATAATCACATTCTTATATGTGATTCTTATATGCATATTTTTATAAAATTATATTTAAGTATATGCATAAAATATTTCTGGAAGGATACACCCCAAAAGTGGTGCCGTAAGTTGGCCAAGTGACAGGGCAAGGGAGAATTCTCACTGTATACTCTTTTCGGCTATTTTTAAGTCATGTAACTATATTAGCTATTCAGAAAATATATAGCATTTTGAAAATGTAAAGAACTAGCTGATTGAGGGCAGTCTAACAGGTAATCTGATCATGGGTGGAAGCAACTAAATGGAAGTAAATCCTAAAACACTATTTTAGTTTACAGATGAGAAATGATCCTTTCTGCCCTGAAAGTGCTGGCTAACAAGGGAATGTGGTCATGAGCATGAGCTTTGACTCCAGCCTTCTACTGTTCAGTTCATAGTGACTAGCCACATGTGGCTATTTATATTAACTGAAATCAAATAAAATTTTAAAATCAGTTGCTTAGCTACACTAGCCACATTGCAAGTGCTCAGTAGTCACATATGGCTAGTGGCCATCACATTAGTACAGATTACAGAGCATAAAGTTTGGTTGGACATGCTGCCCTAGACAGGCTTGGGTTGGAATCCAAGTACAGATGCTACTTACTAGCCATGCACCTTGGACAAACTGCTTAAACTCTCCAAACTTAGATTTCTTTACCTGTCTACTAAATTTATTGGAGCTTGTCATTTTAATTTGTGAAGATTTAATTTGAAATTAGATTTACTTGGTAAAAATCTAAGGAGAGGCCTTTAATGAGAATTTGTGTCACTTTTGCGATAGGTGCTCTGAAAAACTGGTGACTAAGATTTCCATGGTGTCTCTAGCTCACTGTCAGCTGTTGTCTTTCAGGGATTTCTTCAGTGCCAACCCCTTCACCCCTTGGACCTCTGGCAGGCTCACCAGTGATTGCTGCTGCCAACCCCCTCGGGATGCCTGTTCCAGCTGCCGCTGGCGCTCAGCAGTAATGGCCCCTTCTGTCTCCTGATGCCTGAGCAGAGGTTGGGGAGTCCACTTACTCCCTTGATGCAGCTTGCGCCTGGCGGGGAGGGGTGAAATACTTCAGAAGCACCGTGTCTGAACCGTTGCTTGTGGATTTATAGTAGTTCAGTCATAAAAAAAAAAAAAAAAAAATTATAATAGGCTGATTTTCTTTTTTTTTCTTTCTTTTTTTTTTAACTCGAACTTTTCATAACTCAGGGGATTCCCTGAAAAATTATCTGCAGGTGGAATATTTCACGGACAAATTTTTTTCTCCCCTTCCAAATTCAGTTCCTCATCACTAAAGAACAAAGATAAACCAGCCTCAATTCTGGCTGCTGCGTTTGGGTGGAGATTTCTTCCCATGCCCACCATTGCTCCCCTACCATCCCACACTTTGAGGGGTTTGTATTTCATGCTCTCCTCCAGAGATTACAAAAATGTAGCTTCTTGAAGGGAGGTGGGAAGGAAGGAAGAAGGAAGGACCCAACCTATAAGAGCAGTGTACTGCTAGTCACTTATATCACTTTACTCCAAAAGTGCTTCAGTGGGGTTATACTGGTGAATCTAGTGGAAATATGTCTTAGTTACACTGAGATGCTGAAAATCTACCCAAAGTGCAGACAGGTCCTGAAAACATCTGTTCAGTATGAATCATGTCTTATTGACCTAACCTAAATCCAACTCACTTACAATTTAGTTTCAGTTCAGTTTAAAACTTTAATACCGTCCCTCCCAGGCTCCTTACCTTGGTCCTCTTCCCCTTTCATCTCTCAACATGCTCTATAGCTGGTAGGAGGGGGAAGGCAAAATCTTTTTCAGTTTTCTTTGACTTGGCCCTTTTGAATTCAGTTAGTTACTGGGTATAATTATTGCTTTTTACAAAAGAAAAAAACATTGTCTATGTTGGTTTCATGCTAGTAACTCTTGAAGAGCTAATGAGAGATGTGGCCACTGCATTTTATTTTAAGCTTTCTACCTTCTTTTCCTCCTACCTTCCCCTTCCCTCACATGCCATCCATTGAGAAGACCTGCCCCTCAGTCTTGTAAATGTACCTGAGAGGTAGGAGCAGAGCCACTATCTCCAGTGAAACTGAAATGGTAGACCTGTAATTGTGGGAAAACTAAACTCTCTTGTTACAGCCCTGCCACCCCTTGCTGTGTGTATATATATAATACTTTGTCCTTCATATGTGAAAGATCCAGTGTTGGAATTCTTTGGTGTAAATAAACGTTTGGTTTTATTTATCAAGGTTAGATTTAAGTTCCCTGTGTAAAGGTCTCGCTGGGTGGGTGGCTCACGTTCACATCTGAGGGGCCTGCAGCCCTGTACCGTGGAGGCTTCCCAAGGCCCCCGTTTTTATACAACCCTCGTTCAACCCATGGTACCGGGCAGGCAGAGAGGCCTTAAAAAAGCTCCACAAGCCAAAGCGTCTCTGGGGATTAAGGATCCTTTGCCATAAATTCATTTTGTGTCTCAGCAGTGCAGGGAATAGGGATGGGAAAAGTCGCCAGTTTTTGTGTGTTTGTGTAAAGTGGATTTTCCACTGTAATCCAGCCACCTAAGTTTATCAGGTGCTTCACTGAGGAAGCCTAGTTTTTTAAGCACAATAGCAAAACCATCAGCTCTGTATTTTCTCCTGTTGCTTCATTACCGTAGCTGCTTGTGGGGACTAGGAAAAATTCTTCCAACATATTTTAAGGCCTGAAGTCTTAGTTCCCCATTCTCCTACCTTTATAGATTCACAAGTCTTTCTCACCTGGGCGTCATAGATAAACATAATTGTTTGAGGAGTTGAATTTAATGAACTTATCTAACTTTGTAACCCATCTTAGCTCTAGTAACTTTATCAAAGGTGGTGGCTTTAGTGAATATAATGGTAAACTTTAGAGGAAGCTAAAGCCTTTTATAATGCTTCTCAACCATAGGGAAAACATTCTATGTGGCAGGGTGATCTTCTTCGTGGCCACTTACAGTGGATATTTATTGTTCTCGACCCTTTTATGCCCTAGAATGCTGTGGGGGTTACCATGTTGAATTTGTGCAGAACCTCAAAGCACCAGATGTGCCAGAGATGCAGTTTGAGATTACGTTTGCACTGGATTGTGATTTGAACAGGACACTTATGACTGATGAATTATTTCTTTTGAGGTGGGGAGGAGGGCTGTAAATCAAGACTTCACATCCCACCCTTGTAGCTCAGAGAACCTAGGTGTAGCTGAGGCTGATGTGGAGAGCTGCAAACAGCTGGACCTCCTAACATGCATCAGACCTTGCAAGAAATGTAAGGTGAATGCAGAGGACTCTGAAATGCCACCCAAGAGCCTATTAAAAGAAATAGAAGTATTTAAAATGCTACTTAAGGAGTCACTGCAGAAGCATGAAAAAAAAGACCCAATTGGGTGGGTGGGTGGGGGCAAGGGTTTACAGAGTAACAACTTCTGTGTTGTTGTAAATTACCTCATCTGTATACCTTGTATTGGGACACTTCATTTCTCAGCACCACCTGTGTCTGCATTGATTAGATGGCAGGAAATGGAAAGCCAATCTAAGACAGTTGTGTTGGCAATTACTCTGAAAGTTTCTTTAAGTATTTTTTTAACTTTGTTTGAAGTGCTCCCTCCCCCCTTTTAAGTTTGAAGTCATAAGTTCCCCCTCCCCACCTTGATGATTTATTGGTTGTAATTGTATTGTATTTGGTATAACTAAAACATAACTGTGCTGGGAAGAAGTTGTGCCATGAAGGTCTTTAATTTTTTTTTAATAAAAACATTTAAACAAATGAAATGTCCCTGCAGCCTGAGCAATATGCTTCAACCGACACCGTGTGTGGGATAGATGGCTTAGTTCTCAAGTGCTTTGAATTTAATACTGGGCTGATGGAGATGTGAAATGGGATGAATTAAGGTTGGTTGAGGAGCACTGAAGTGTAGGAGTTTTTGACATTGAGATACAGTGAAGAGAGTATGATGTTGTTGCTAAACAGGACTGGTTTCATTCCTGCCCTCGTCACATACTTGGCTACTTGGCAAGTTACTTCTGAATCTGTTTCATCATCTATAAAATGGAGCCACTGCTTCTTTGGGATTAAATGAGAGTAAATGTCAAGTGTCTGGCACCTGTTATGCCCTTGTTCAACCTAATACCCGTGGCCCCTGGTATGGGGGATTAGTCCTTGGCCCTGACTTTGCAAGTAATTCACAGTATGATCTCTCCTCTGGCTCTCTTGGCACCAGTGTGTGTTCAGTCAGGGGAGTCTGGATGAGATGTCTTCTGAGTTCCTTTTCAGCTCTGACACTGATTTTAGAAAGTTTGAGTTGGTGCGTAAATACAGAGGTCCATGGAGACGGTTGGTTTGTTAGCAGAAAAGACCAGTGCTCGGTGAATGGCAGTAAGCCCTGTGGAAGGTCAGCCTTGGAGAGACCTCCAGTGCAGGAGGCAACGTGCAGTCTTGGTGCCTGGAATGAAGGTATGCTGGTGAGCAAATGGGAACATATTTGGCAGCTTTAATAGAAACTACCAAAAGGGCTGGTAGAAGAGGTGAAACAGAGTTTACTTGCTTATTAATGTCAAATGAGTAAATTCTACAACAGTATATACTTGAATTTTCATTTATTCTTTCTCATTTAACAACAGTTGAAAAGTTGAAATCAGGAAATGCTGTTATCCCAAATTCTTAGTTTCCTTTAAATGTTCAGTGCATCCATATGTTAATAATATTGGGAGTTGTTGAGAAGTGTGGTTTAGATAAAAGGAACCATTGTGTAATATATCTGAAATGCCTAACTTACATGAACATTAAATTCTCACATTTACTCTCATTTTATCCATGAGACAGATAGGAAGATTAAGTTGTTAGAGTGGGCCCACTAGAGACAGAGGAATATATTTGGTAAAGTTAGATCTTCAGGGTATGGCTAATTACTGTAGTCCTAAAGTAGTAGAGAAAATTGTGGATTGGTTGACAGATTTTGAAATTTTTATTTCCTCTCAATCTTTAAATTTCATCTTGTTTCACCTGTTGTCAAGTGTGGTTACAATTAGAACTGACCTTTTGAGTATCTCTTGAAAAAATCTAGTTTTGTCACCACTCCCACTAGCAGATTTCTCTCCTGAGATTAGAATTGGGTTTGAGTAGTTGTTGAATCGTAACAGTCCTTGCCTGTACTTCCCTGCTGGTAATTTCCTCCTCCCTTGTGCTGATTGACGCTCCATCCTATGTAAAAGTCACCTCTCTCTGCTTCCCCCACTGCCGTCACTACCCCTGCACCCTTTTTCCTTATAACACCTGACCTTAATGTTATTTTTGTCTCTCTCCCCACCTACATGTAAAGTCCCTGATGACCTTGTATGTCTTAATAATCTGTGCATCCTCATAAAAAACTTTTTTTTTAAGTGTGTTAATATCCTTCAGAATTGAAGAGGATCAAATGGAGTAGCACGAGGAAAATGCTTAGCACCATACCAGGCTCATAATAGATGCTCAATAAATAGTAATTCCATCCTCCACTCCCAGTTCCACCTTCCCCCTCCTCCACACATAAGAAATTAATGGGAGTGTTGTTGAATAAAGAACATCTCAAGATGAGAAGAGCCTTGTTCATAGATGTGCAGCTATAATTATAAGCCACAGGCCAGACTGGATTAACATGACACAATGTTTATTTAATGTTTACTTATTTTAATTATTTAATAATTTAATGAGCCCTTGGTGAAATCTTGAGTGGCTGAAGGCTGAGCAACGATCCTGACCAATTTAGTAGAATTAGGTGCTACAATATCCCCTGCTTTCCACCATTGGTATATAACAATGTGAAATTCAGGCTGTTCTCCAAGTAGAACAGATACATAGAGGGTGTCACAAGGTAGTCTGGTTCTGGAGTCAACGTGGACAAGTGCTTTCTAGATTTCATAACCCTACTATGATTCTGTGCTAAATTTAACCACTTCAGAGAAGCAACCTAGTAGAACTATAAATGCCCTGGTTCTGATAAGAGTTATGGCTGGCTGTGTAGTTTGGGCTCAGTAATTTAACCTTCCTGAATCTTCACAACTGACTTAAATTATTATTGTAAAACATTTTAGATGTACTAAGTTGTAAAGAGGCTGTAACACACCCATGAACCCACTGCCCAAGTTAAGTCTATATTACCAATACAGATGAAGCCCCTTTTGCCCCCTTCTCTTCCTCCCTGCCCCAGAGGTTCTTATATCTTCTTCATATGTAAAATTGGGGTGTTAATACCTATTTTACAAGGTGGTTATAAGATTAGATGGTAAATGTTTGGAAAGTGCCTGGCACACACTAGAGTTGGGCTAAATATTCACTTCCACTCTGAATTGTATAGTTGTGCAGGTTACGTGCAGAAAAAGATTCCATGTCTATAGGAATGCCATAGACTTGTGCATTTATTTCTACAGTTTTACAGTAGATGGCAGTAAAATATCTGGTTCTAGAAGAAAAAAATCCATGTATTAAATATGACAGGTTTTCAACAGATGCAAGTTGTTTCTAATTTCCATGAAGGCCAGCATTGCCCTGTTCTCACCCCCTCACTCTTCTCTAAGATTCTATCACTCTTATCTCCTCTGAATTTTTAATTTCTCTACTGAAAGCCAAATACTTTTGCACTATAGCAAATTACAGTCTGGATTTGCCTCCCTGTGGTCATAATCACCAGAGATTCTTAGTGGCCTCAATGTAAGAAGCTCTTCCCCAGGCACCTCCAGATGGGAGTTGATAGGATGGACAGTCCCTTTCTTAGAGAAGTTCCCGAGGGGATTGGGTATTTCTGAGTCAGCTTTACTCCTGCATCATCTGCTTTGACAGAATTTTCTTGGCTCCTCTAATGATGCAAAGGAAAAGCAGCAGCAGCTGGCAGTTGGTTTCCTGATTTCACCCTGTGAGTCAGAGTCTCGGCTATAGCTAGGCATTTGTAGACTTATCTAGAAAGGGAGGACTTTGCTTCTCTGTTGAACAGTTCTGGGAACTCCACGGTGAACTTCCTATGAAGAAACCTAAATACCCACAGCTCTCCACACCTCATTCTGTTCCCTGCTCACCCACTCAGCTCTGTCCCCTCAGCCCAGAATCAGAGTTACGGACTCATCTTGACTGGTCTTTCCAGAATTCGTTTATAAAATATGCTGCTCAACAAACGTGTTGATGTCTGTGAGCCTGGTCCTATGCTAAACACTGGAGATTGGGAGAGATGAGACGCAAGCAGAAAGGCAGGAAACAAATTGTTCCC